GCCGCCAGACTCAAATGGTCATTTCGCAGTCCTTCTTCCGTATCCAGGTGGCAGCTGACCACGGACAAGGCGGTCTGGAGCTATGGATGGCTAGAACAGACCCGAGAACGAAAGGTCAGATTTTTGAGCGAGCACACATCAATGTCCTCCATGCGGAAGCCGAGTTGTTGATTGTTAAGGCACGATGCCGAGGCCAGCAATTGTTGATTGTTAATGGGCATGGCCCACACAGTGGAAGGCCCCATGATGAGATTGTTTCCTACTGGTCACAAGTCTCCGATAAGTTGGCACAGTTCTGGCAACCAGATGTCCCGGTTGTGTGTGGGTTTGATGCCAATGCGCATTTCCATGAACCATACCATGAGACGGTTGGAGAAGCTGGACTTGAGGGGACGACCAATTTGGGAGCACGTGCATTCTTGCGGTTTTTACAAAGGTTTGATCTTTTTCTCCCCAGCACTTTTGATGAGTTTCACGACGGGGCCCACGTGACTTGGCACCACAGCTGCAACAATAGTGGGGCCAGATGTGACTATCTGGCGATTCCCAAGGCATGGCGGCCTGGTTCTATACGATCCTACTGTCTCCCTAGCCTCGATGCTGGCGGAGCTGGAATCGACCATATTCCGGTGGCCTTGCAAGTGACTTTGACCCTACTGAGTAATAGAACAGCAAAGAAAAAGGACATCTTTGACCGACGGGCACTGCAAGATGCAAGTACCCAAGAGATTGAGCAAGTGATGGAAGGGATTGAACTTCCTGCCTGGACGAGTGGGGTAGATGAGCATGCCACGTCACTGTCTGAGCAAATTGTTCTGCGTCTGCAAGAAAATTTCCCACTTGCTCATTCGAAACCCCGAAAGGGATATATCTCTGATGCAAGTTGGAAGATCCGAAGGGAGAGGTTGAAACTTCGACATGATCTTTCCTCGTGCCGTAAGCAGCTTGAACGATTGAGTTTGGAAAAGGCGTGGGAGGTCTGGAATGATAAAGCCGTCTTTGACCAGCAAGCTCTTCTTGTTTGTGCCATTAGGTTCTTTTCGCGTGCACTCAAGGTTCGGAGGCAGGTTGCTGCTACAGGCAAAGCTTTGCAGCAAAGTCTTCGTGAAGACCGAACACGATCTTTTGAAGCACTTGCCGAACGGTCCTATGCAATGCGAAAAAAAGACTTTCTTGGAGCTCTGCGTGCCCTAGGTGTTCGGAACTCTAAGAAGCCTTCGGCGATACAGCCGCTACCGATCCTTCGGGGGCTGGATGACAAGCCGTTGGACACATTGGAGAAAGTCATGCAGAGATGGCGAGAATATTTCCTTGAGCAAGAAGATGGCTGCGAAACTACGTTTTCGCAGATTTTTGCCTCTGCTGATGCGACGGATCGCACGCAGCGGCCTTGCCCACACTGGGATCAAATGCCAACGCTCTTCCAACTCGAGCAGCAGTTTCGACGCACTGCGAAGAACAAAGCTTTTTTCGCAGACAATATACCGGGTGAGCTTCTGGCAATTGCGCCGAGACGCATGGCTGAAATCTTTTATCCCCTGATCTGTAAGGAAATTGTGCATGTTCGTGAGCCGATCATTCACAAGGGCGGCTTTCTAACACCTGCTTTCAAAAAAGGTGATCCTGGTCAGCCAGAGAGCTATCGATCGCTTTTCGTCAGCAGTGTGGTAGGTAAGGCAGTCCATGCCATTTACCGTGCTGAGTTAGCTGCGATCTTTGAAAAGCAAAGGTTACCGCTCCAAATCGGGGGTTTGAAAGGTTTTAGTGTGGGCCAAGCTGCGCATACGTTGCAAAGCTACCATAGGACAGCCATCAGGAGAAACCACTCCGTAGCTATCATCTTCATTGATGTGGCGAATGCCTTCTATCGGCTCATTCGACAGCACATTCTAGATGTTCCTGATGATCAACGGACCCCAGCTCAGATTTTCGATGCACTACGATTACCAAGAGAAGTGTTTGAAGAGTTCTCACAGTTGATGCAACAGCCAGCTGCGATGGAAAGCTCCGATGCACCTGAATTCTTGAAAGTACTTTTCAGAGAATTTTATGCCACGACCTGGTTCCGACTGAAAACAGATGATGTGGTGGTGCAAACAAGGAGAGGGAGCAGACCTGGTGACAGTTTTGCAGACCTATGTTTCTCGTTTGCTCTGCAAAAAATTATGGAGGGCATCAATCGCCAGATTCGTGCAGAATACCCTGCCATTGGGCCTTTATGGGATGGCAATCGATCTCCAGTTCGGGGGCCAGGACCGACACAACGTTTAGACATTGTGACACCTGTTTGGGCTGATGATCTGGCACTGGCGTTTTCGCATCCAGAAGCAGAAGTTCTGCTCGAAAGAACTGTTCGTATTGCATCAATTGTTTTCGATGGTTTTGTGGCAGCTGGATTGAAACCGAACTTCAAGACAGGTAAGACTGAGGTGCTGATCGACCTGAGAGGGCCAGCATCCATGCAAGCACGGCGTAACCTTGTACATCTCGATCGCATGCTCCGGATTCCATCCCGATTCACGGATTATGCTGTTCGAGTGGTAGGAGCGTACAAGCACCTTGGATCGTGGATACAAGTCGGCTCTGGCATTGCACGTGACCTGAGTACGAAGTTTGCGGCAGCCCACAACCTGATGACGCAGTACCGGAATCAGGTCTTTGCCAACAAGAAGCTGGCTTTGAAGAAGAAACTCCAACTATTTCAGATGATGGTGGTGAGTACCATTGTGCACAATGCGGCTCTCTGGACGCCGCGAAACAAAAGACAAAGGCAGCAGCTCCATGCCTCCTTTGTCAGGCTCTACAAGCGGCTAGGAGTCCTGCATTTCGGAATTGACGCACAAAAGTGGCCCATTACCAAGTTGCTCAATCAGCTGGAACTTCCTGACCCAGAGATTACAGTGCGACAGGCTCGACTTCGATATCTCGAACAAACCTGTAGGACTGGACAACCACACCTGTGGGCGGTTCTTCAAGAAGACCGAGAGTGGTGGCCCACTGTTCTGGCGGACATCCAATGGTTGTGTGACCATTGTCCGGAGCTACAGACAGACGAGAGAGATCTAGCGGACTGGGCATCCCTTGCTGATTTCCTTCTTGCACATCCGAAAGTCTGGAAAGGCCACATCAAACGGGCAGTTCATAGACACGTTGCCTCTAGGAAGCTTGATGAGCACTGGCAGGAGTGGCATGGGATAATCATGCAAGAGGTGGTCGAAGCAGGATTTGGCTATAAAGCCTTTGCACAAATCCCCCAACAGCCCTTTTACTGCCTGCGATGCCAACGGATTTTTCAGAGACGGGCTGACTTGGCCGTTCATGCTTTTAAAAAGCACGACCGAATCAATCCAGCACGGAAGTTTGTGCAAGGGACGCAGTGTGAAAGGTGCCTCAAACATTATGCCACCTATCCTGATTTAGTCAACCATGTGAAGAGGACACAGAGCTGTTTGCACTTCTATGCCAATAGAGGAGTCCTTGTACCTCGGCAGCCTGGAGTAAACAGTCGTGCAGATAACCAACAACGATCCTTGCTCCGTGATCCCTTTTTCTATGCGGAAGGGCCTCGTTGCCCATCCCCAGCAGCTCTCATTGATGATGAGCACCCAGAGCAGGTGCTGCTTATGGAGAAGTGGGACCAAGCTTCTGTACACCAAACAGCTGTCCAGACGTGGCTTGAAGCCCTTCGACAGGCGACCCTACAGACGACTTTGTTCCATGAAGAGATTATGACCACTTTTCGAACTTGGTGCGAAGACTGGTGCGCCTCACATGAAGATTTAGCACTTAGTGGGCTCCGAGTTTTCCATTTATTTGAGTGCCAAGCATCGGCGGAGTGGTTCCTTACTGGCACCACAAGGACGCAACAGATTGGGGAGGCTGCGGTCGCCTTTTTTGAAAGAGAGGCTTGGCATTTCCAAGACATCATATGGACACCAGCGAGGTCAGTGAGGTACCATCCTCGAGTAGTTGCTCATCTCTTTTCGGGCGAGCGCCGGCAAGGAGACCTTCAGCACTATCTTGAGAAGTATGGTTTCTCGTCGGTGTCCATAGACATTATCTATGATGTTACCTGGGGGAATCTTCTCCGACAGGATACATTGGATACCTTCAGGCATGCTCTACGTGTTGGTGCGCTCCTGGGCTTCATGGCGGGGCCTCCATGCGAGACATGGAGCCGCGCCAGAGCGGTTCAATGTGAGGGCGGTCCACGCATGGTGCGGTCCTGCACCCGACCACAAGGGGTTCTACACTTGACGAAGCGAGAGAGCCTTCAGGTCGAGCTGGGCAATCGACTACTGGCGGTAGCAGTTTTGCTTATCTGGACAGCACTGCTGTGTGGGGCGACTGGGGTGCTTGAACACCCTGCGCAGCCTGAAGAAGACCATTTGCCTTCGATCTGGCGACTTGCCATAATGCACTACTTTCTCCGTTTCAATTCCTGCAGACGTGTGAGGGTTGATCAGGGGCGATACGGCGGTCTGTCAATGAAACCGACAGATTTGCTCATTGTGCACGGAGTCGATGACCCCGATGGCCTATTTGTTGCCGGGCGCACTACGCCGATTCCCAAGACAGGCCGCATCGGCAAAGCTGATGACGGCACTTGGTTGACAAGTGCGTTGAAACAATATCCAGCGGATTTCTGCAAAGTGTTGGCGCAACTTTTCCATGAAGCCAATACGGCTGCAGATGTCCAGGAAGAGCTTCCTAGCTGGTTCTCGAAGGCAATTTCGAACCTTACAGCCGGCTTTGATGAACAGGCCCCGATGGGGCCTGATTTCAGGCCGGATGCTGTCTGAGCAGGTATAATTAGGTGCAAGTTAGTCACAGGCGACGCCTTCGGCTTCAGAGAAAGAAAAGGACTTGGTGTATGACGATCTGAATGAAAGCTACTAGGAGCTACTGGCTACTAGGAGCAAGGACGCTACTAGGGGCTCCTGGCCTTACTACTGGGAGCAAGAAGCTACTCGTGGAATTCAGAACCACTCCGCCCTAGCCTCTGTGCGCTGTGACGCATCGTCGCACAAAAGGCCGCCCAGCATTCTTCCAGAAATGCAGCAAAGTGACCATGGCACGGAATCCACAAACGCAGTAGTGTTGGGAGTACTCTGTGGCTGTCGTGGCTGTTGTGGCTGTCGTTTCTGTTGTGTCGAGCGGTTCTACCATGGTCATTCCATATATGGCGTTCTGCTCAAAGCTTTGGAATTGTGGTGCCCACATGCTTCTTTCAACAAATCGTGTTCCACCCTGCAAGAAACTCAGATGATAAGTCCTTCGAACTTCATCCCTGCAATCTAGTGTGTCTGCACCTTCAGAGCGCTTTTGTCTGGAAAAGACAATAGCATAATGCAGCATCCCTGGGCCCTGGATAGAAGAAATTGTGTTGGGGGGAAGCTTGGTCGCCAGTAGCTTTGCCGGCTCTGAATTCCATGTTTTTTGCCTATTTGTCCAGCTTTTCTAGGTCAAAGGACCTTGAGAGTTGAAAAATAATGAAAAATATTCCACAGAGGGGAACAGCATGAACAAAACACGAACTCGCAACCCATCAACTCAAAAGACTTAGTTACTTTGCAAATGAGGAAATCCTGACAGTGATCTTCTTTCAGGACAACTTCTGCGTTTCAACCAAAAGGCGACCAGCCAAATGGCGGCAGCGGGACCCATAGGTTGCTTTGCCTTGCATGAAGCCTGCACAGGTAGGCGCGCGGCAGCACTGCTTGCGGCACTGCAGAGCACATTCTGCACTTTCTTTCTAACAACAATGGCCTCCAACCTAGTAGCGATGGCCTCCGATCAACCTAATAGCAATAGTGGCCTCCCTCGCCACGAAAGCTTTAAACAAAAAGGCTTGAGTGGCTTTGACATCCGAGACGGAGTGGATACTGAAGGATGGTGTCATTCACACGATGTCTGCATTGAACAATATCACCCAAAACACACAACCTCTCCACCTCACATTTACCTCGCCATTTCGGACAAACGACACAACTGCATCACACTTTTGGTGCCTGGCGCAGGGCCTCCTGAGTCACCCTTGCCTTTGGCATCTTTGCCTCGACTGCCGCAGCTTGTGCTCTTCTACACTATCCGTCACAGTGGCACGAGCTCCAAAGCAGCTCCAAAGTCGATTTGGTTCAGATGAGATGAACTCCCAAGACTCAATCGGCGCTCCGACAGCCAAAGCTATGCAAGGCATGTTTCTTTGCGCCTCCAGCAGGTCGTTGGTTTACCGAAATGATGGCAGGGTCGGAGGTCTCAGTGCCCACGTCTGCTAAAGGCTGTCAGCACTTGGTCAACTTCAAACTGACATGTCAATTTCAGCGCGAGAAATTACAGGATATCACAGGTTTATCAAACAAGCCTACAGTGGCCGGTGGCCTGTGGAATAATGCTGCTTGACAATTTTGAGCTGCTTCGGAAGCCTTCTGAACTGCTTGAGGAACTGTGATGGCTTTGGTTTTGCACTTCTAATTTTTGCCATGGGGCACTAGAGGGCTTCCCTTGGTTGTCTAGGACAGTGAGGTCTTTGATGTCCTGCCCTCGGAAGATGATGAAGTCATAGACCTGTCCGCCAAGCAGAACTCTCTGAAACGCCAAAGTCCCATCCAGCTCTTGTAGTGAACAAGAAGCTACTAGGAGTAAGGACGCTACTAGGAACAAGAAGCATTTCAAAATCTTACCAGGGATATTCTGTGATCTTTGGCTTTCCTCTTTGCCTTGGACCGGACTTAAGCGTCCTTTTCCAACAAGAACAGTTGTGGATATTAAGGATACTCATTTCAGCAAACAATGGCTACTAAACAAAGGAAGCAAGCCAGAAAGAAAACAAGAAGGTCTAAACACAAAAAACGATCATAAAGGAACAAACACAGGAACTGAGGGACCGCCCCATGTGCCTCGCTGGAAGGAGGAACCTCGGGCATCTTCCTGGGCAACTAACAAATCTCACACAAAATGCGAATACTATGAGAAATAGACAAAACAAACTCAATAAATTGAGAAAGAGAAACACTGCCAACAGCTTGTACGTCTTTCTCTCAATTTCCTTGCCTTCCCTCCGTGCCGAAAGAGCGCACGGACTGGAGGGCAATGGTGGACTCCTTGAACAGAAGAGGACCGACACTCGAAGTCGCCAGACTTTCAGTAGAAATACCCTTGTTACTAGTAGCGAACATTGCTCCTAGTAGTAAGGCCAGGAGCCCCTAGTAGCGTCCTTGCTCCTAGTAGCGATGCCAGGAGCCCCTCGTAGCGATAAAAGCTAACAAATGACGACACCAGGTTTGGTTCAACTAGTTTTTTCGCACCTTTTTCCTTCTCGACATACGTCTCTAGCTCAAGATCAAGTTGCCCCCACGGCAAGTGGAGTGGCATAATACCATGGCATGGATCAGAAAGTTTTGATCTTGATCACCTCTTTGCTCCTTTGGAGCATGTCAAACATGAGGCGATGTTTTTATGGCCAGGTTCAGGTAGGATCTTGCCCAGTTGGTCACTGTGGCGTTGTACTCCTCCTGCAACAGGGCAACAAACCAAAAGCCCCTAGACATGGCGTGCTCAATCATGGCAAAGGCCATCTAAGAATCAATGTTAGCCGCGCAGCATCATCCTACCATCAAGCATGGTTTTAAAAGGTTTTAAGCACAGATCCTCTCTTCGGAGACAGCTACCACCGTGCCCACACCGTGCCCTGCCTCTCTGCCAGGGTTGAAGCTAGAGAAGCAGTCACTCAAGAGTGTAGGGGCTGTGCCCATGAAATCTGTCTGCATTCCAGAATAAAGCTCCATCAGCGCAAAGCCTTGACGCAAAAAAAAAGCCGATTCATCATCGTTTCCAGCAAAGGTGTTTTGTCATCTTCATGCCTTGACGTCATCCCAGTACTGTCTATCACCCTGCTATTGCATTTCCCATCATGGTCCCTTACAGCTTGCTTGCTGCGGCAGAGTCCCTTGTTTTCCTGTTTCAGTTCCCTGTGTCGAGACAAAGTCGATTGAGTTCACTGTGAAAGGCGACTGAGTTGCTTGGATGCTCAGAGGTCTGCATGCTGGCAACCTTCTCTTCCCACCTGCGGAGAGTGCATAAACGTGTAAGACCCAACCACGAGTGACTTGAGATGCAAGGAATCTTGTGTCATCTTGTGTCCATGGTGGTTCAGAACAGCTTTGTTTCAACCCTACGAAGTCCCATTCGGCAAGCTGACGGCTTAATCCTTCTAGGTGTCCCTAGCTGTAAGATTGATGTGTGTTGTTCATGAGCTACTTGTTATCGGTCGTTACTGATTGTTGCTCAAAAAGTTTACTTGGTGTTTTGGCCGTGCTTTTCTAGGGATGGTTGTGGCCTTGCCTCCTCCTCAAGCCCTCCCTCTCAAGGGGGTCCGCATAGATCTCCCAAGCAAAGGAGAACGGTGCCTTTAGGTGGTCGTACACCCAATCAAAGCCTCAAAGAAAACGGAACTTGGTGATCTCTAAAATGGTTTGCTACATTGGATTCTCTCAAAGGCCAAGGGGCTGGTGCCAGGGCAGTCGTAGCCGACCTCCTTTCCAGCTGCCCCGAAGGGACACTTGCAATGACTTGAATCTAATTCCTGAAAGCCCCGGTGAGCAGGCGGTGAGCATCTGGCCGCAAGACTCCAATGGTGTAGCGTTGAGTCATGGAGTGAAAACAAGAGACGCCTTGAGAAGCTACCAACCCCTAATAGCGATGGCCGCCAACCTAAGAGCGATGGCCTCCGACCTAAAACGAATAGAAATTTGACATCTGCAATTGTGAACGAGGCCCGAAGACACCTGCAACTCTGTAAGTTGCACTTATTCCTTGCTGATCTACACCCCGGGTGTCCTCCAAGACAGAGAGCATGGGGCCGCGGTTCCGCTTTGCCAGGTGCTGACTGTCATAAGCCCAAGGCATGTACATACCCAGGGTGCCGCTGTGCACCTCAAGCATCTTGCGTCTGGCGGTTGCCTACATTTTCAACAGGAAACAGTGCGGCTAGTAGCTTCTTGCTCCTAGTAGTAAGGCCTGGAGCTACTAGTAGCTTCTTGTTACTACTAGTAAGGCACGTGTTACTAGAAGCGATGCACTTGTTACTAGTAGCGAACATTGCTCCATGTGTAAAAATCGGAAACGGTTACCTCGGGCTCCGCACTGAGAGAAAAGTGGTCGGCTGAAAGCCAGTGATCAGGTCCCGAACCAGCTGCGTTTCGGGCCTTGGAGCACAACGTCTCGTGGGCTAACCGTAACAAGTGCCTCGCTAGTAGTAACAAGTGCCTTACTAGTAGTAACAATGTTTGCTATTAGAAGTAAATTAACTAATAGCGAACATTGTTACTACTAGTAAGGCACTTGTTTCTAGAAGCGATGCACTTGTTTCTAATAGCAAATTGTTTGAGTATATATTTAGTGTTCTTTGGGTGTTAATCTATGCGTTGTTTGTGTGTGGTTTTAAACAAATAAGGTCAATAGTTTGGATGTCTTGCTTTCGTGCAGCGCAGCTGCTCACTGAAAGGTCGCTGACCATGGAATTGGTTGTCGCTGGAAGCTGTAGAGCCCAAGTTCCATTTCTCATCCCAGTTGCGATTCAAGTCCACGCCGTGGGGGTTTTCACGTAAACAATATTCCCCTGCCGTGGCTTGTTCGTTTCAACTTCAACAAGCATCTTCACTCATATCTTCACTATTGCTCTTCGTCAAAAACCTAGTGAACACTTCAAGCTTCAAGAACGATGGAAGCTAAAGAAAACAACCGACGGGGGGTGACAGGGGCGGGACCATCTCCTGCTTCCACACGAGCTCGAGAAACCGGATTGGCATTGAGGATCAGCTGAAACTCGGAATCTTTCAGCGCTTCGTCTAATAACTTTTCTTCTATCTCTCCGCACAGCATTTTCCTGAAATGCAAACAATCTTCGGGGATGCAAAACAAAGTTCACGGCAGCTGGCGAGGAATGTTTATGGGACACAATAAAAATGACATCTAGGTCTTGGCCTATACCGAGCGTCAGGAGCATAAGCCCTGTCTCTGGACCAATCAGCTCCCGGCTGTGCTCCCCAAAGAGCAATGAAACTCTATTCTTCGGAGCTCCATTCTGAGTCTTCTTGATGCGAATCTCGTCAATGGAGACATAGTCCTTCATGACTGCTAGCGGAAACGAAACTGCTGGTGAAGTGCTGAGTCCAAACCCGGTGCCAAACCTCTCTGGACTTCTTTCATGGTCATTGGCAAGAATCATGGGGTCCTGCTTTACTGTCTGCAGCTCGGCGTGCACCTTGCACTTTGACACCAAATGCCGTGCCTGCGCTTCTAACTCCTTCAAAGAGTCGCGCAAGCGCAACCAAGGGATTGATGTGTAACACGGTAGAATGCAAATGCCGTGAAATGTTGCCTACAAAAAAATCAAAAAGGCTTGAAAAGCGGTCCATTCTAGGTTGACTGTTTGGTGTTATTTGGTCATGATGCATTGACGTTAGTCCAGGCAGGATGCCCACTTTCACATTCGCATAGCCCCTTTTTGAAAAGAGCTTTATAGCATTTGCATGGAAGTCGATCCTTTGGAATGTATCGCTGGCATGTGTACTGAGTGCACTGTACTAATTACGTACGAGTACGGTATACTTTCGGCAAGGATGCACTTCAGCAATCTTCCCATCTTAGTTTGACAAGAAAAGGGCTGAAGTCCGTTGGTGTCTAAAAAAAAGAAAAGGACTCCAATGGTTTTTGGTGTTTGAATCTCCCTGTCCTCACTGGTGTGGTAGAAAGGGAACTCTGACTGCAGTCGCCCAGTGTCGTGGCGCAAGTGCCCTTTGACATTCACGGCGGATACGCCCAGCACAAAGCTCAGCAGCAGCTTCATCCGCTATCGAAATGGATACAGCAAAGTGCTGTACCGAGAAATAGGAACGGAATATTGGGGACAATCGTAATTTCGCGTGTTGAAACAACATGACTCAAACACAAACTGGGACATCCAAGTTCATCCCCCATCCGCACCCATCAAGTCACTCCAAGCCCAAAGGCTGCGGATTTGACGATTCCAACTGTCCACTTCTGCTGCTCTTAAATAGGCATAAAAAAGAACAGACACAACCAAGACTGCGACCCACTGCGCTCTCCTGCGTGTTGATGGTGTACAAAATGCCTTCATAGCGTATCTCTGAGTTTGACACCAGGCCTTGGCACCGCATGGCACAGCTCTGAGCTGTTCTCCATTAGATTTTAGTCTAATTGCCATGGCCTCCACCCTAGTAGCGATGGCCTGTCGTTTAAGTCCTGTCGTTTAAGATTCATCTCTTCTGTTCCTTCATGTTCCTTTCTTCTTTTCTGTTCTTTCATGTCTCTGTGTAGACTTCTCGACCTTCTCTGTTTCCCTTCTTGACTTTCTTTATTGGAACTGGTTAGCCTGGCTCTTCGAGTCTCCCTTGGCACTCCAGCTGATCTTGCGGCCAATGTAGGGCACTGCGCTGGAAGACATGACCTCCAAGAGAGTCGGAATGGATGCTAGGAACAAGAAGCTACTAGGAACAAGTGCCACGCTAGTAGTAACAGGTGCCTTACTAGTAGTAACAAGAAGCTACTAGGGGCTCCTGGCATCGCTACTAGGAGCAAGGACGTTACTACTTGTAGGGGCTCCTGGCCTTACTACTTGGAGCAAGAAGCTATTACCAGTAGAAACAAGAAGAGGTTACTTCGCGTCACGTCGATCCGTGTCTTCTATCTTTCACTTTGAATCCCTCTGATACTGGCCTTGGCTTCCCAGGTCCGCTTCTACTTCTGTCTTTAAAAGCGAACACTCCTATCTACAAATTTGAGCCAACGCCTGCAAGCCGAAAACCTGTGTTTTGCTGCGACAGGGCTCCGACTGAATCAAGAACAGGAAAATGAAACAAAAGTGTTTTCTCTGAATGTTGAAGTTTTGGTGTCTCTGAGGTGAACCCTCAAATTCGATAGCCAGGCATGTGTCCTGCCGCAATTTTGGAGGCCTGGCGCAAGGTCAATCTGACTGAAGGCTGAAGGGCATGACAACTTTGAGCATCAGAATCCGTTCAATCCCGCTCTTCGTCTGCTTTTTTCTCCTCTGTTTCCAATTTTTGGTTGGCAAGTAAATATATGACGCCGCCCAGTCAAAATGAATTCTCAAATTGCATTTTGGATGTGCCTGTTGTGTCCTTTGTCTGTTGTTTAGCCTCAAGCAAGCAATGACCTCTGGTCGCCGTGCTTCTGGACAAGAATCCTGGAACAAGCACGGCAGTGCGTGTGTTCGGCAGATAGAGCGGATCAAAAGTTGAAAAAATGTTCGAAAACATGATCTTCCTCTTTAAAGCACAAAGGATGTGAGAATCGCATGCAACAGACCTGTGAGTGGGGAAACGCCATAAAGCGAAAAGGTTTAGACAAAGGGGTCGGTACACGCGCGACACGTACCTCGCCATGTTTCCTCTTATGCCATTCGAATACTCTCAACTATTAATTCCTGTGTTGCATCGCCTTCTCCAGTTCTCGTTGAACCAAGGCGATCCAAGGAGCTTTGCCTTCAGCAGAGACTCCTTGCAGACTCACAGAATCGCATTCCTTTACTTGAGAATATCTTAAAATACATCAGATGTGTAACAAATGTGGAGGATATCGTAGGCTGGCTTAGCGTCCTTGGAGCGCCGGTCCTGACGGCCTTAAAACACGATCCGGGCCGAAGAAGTCGAATGACGAGCCTGAGCCTTGCTTTAGTCGCAAACCTGCGCGGGGCCGAGAAACATGGCACCACACCAGTATCATATGTTTATCATTCTTTATCTATTTACATGACATGACAACAGAAAGAGAAAGACACATGCTGGGAACAAGCAACAGGAATCAAATCAAATCACAAGGCAAGGACACGTACATCCGGCGCAAAGCTTGGGTGTTTTGACGAAAACAAATAAACCTGTATATGAACAGATATAAAGGAGATGATGTTGTTGTATGCGATGATATGCAATGCTTCTAGTCCGAAACGCAACGAGGTGCAACGGCAGAGGGTATTCCCACGGGTGAACATTCGACTTAACCATCTCGATCATCTCGATCCCAGCGGCCGGTTTTTGGCTTCCGCTTCGAGCGCCGCCCCGAAGGAGAACGCGAGTACGCAAGCCCAAGGACGTGGCGGACGTTCATCGGTCCACTTGTTTGTTGAATTGGCTTCGAAGAAGTAACGAGCAATGGACTGTATTGGGTGGAGGCGATTGCTAGTAGGTTGTTGTCTTGCAGTGCAAGGGAAAGCTGTTGACCGCCTTTGCCTGGGACTCAGAAAGCCTCCCTTTTGGGATGCTGGAGAAGCCAGGAGCCATGGCTCTGCGCAATTCGTAGGGACACAAAAAAAGGTTCAACATCCCATAGTCAAACTGCAAATTTGGAAGGTCCGAGACATCAAATTCGGAAAATTCTGTCCACAGATCCACAGCAAGTAACGGTGAGCTCTCACACTTGGAAATTTCACGAAGACAGTGCTAGTATCACGTCACTGAGATACCAAGTCATGAAGAGTTCTCAATAATCGCAAAAGGAACCTAATAGCAATGGCCTCCAACCTACTAGCGATGGCCTCCAGCCTAATAGCGATGGCCTCCAACCTAAGAGCCATTGAAACGAAATGAGACGTACCTTTTGCTGAAGTGCACTGAAGTGTAGAAAGGAGAACCCGAAGATTGTCGAAGAAAGGTCATGAATCGGCTCTTCAAGTCCGTCATGAAAGAATGATTTCTATCTAAACACCAAGAAAGTAGGCAACGCAAAACGGTGGGATTGCAAGCAGCTGCAGCAGATTGTAGCTGCTGTAGTCAAAATAGATCGACATGACATGATACTTGCCAACTAAGAGCTCTTTAAGCGATCCATTAAGCTAGTATTCGCTCCTGAAGCGTAGGAGCGCTCAAATCCGAAGGAAAGACTCTGAGATTTAAACTGAAAGACCGCAGTCCTCATGAAAGACTTGGAAATCCTCCGGCTCAGAGTCAGAGTTCCCAGGAGTCAGCAGGCACTTTGGCCCAAACATAAGGTTTGGTCTGGGTCGCCACGATACGACATGACATAATAGAAAGGTTTGAGATGTCACATGACATGTCACCGAGTTCACCGGGTTGAGATGGCCATGGTTTGGAACCGGTCGGAATGCAAGAGTTTCGATCTCGCTGGGTTTGACCCACACCAATTTGGATCACAGGCTGATTTTAAGCCTGTCTAATGCATAGAAATCGACAGCAACACCTTTTCCTCTTTCCTTGTCGATTAACGACATGTGTTGTTGCAGTTGTGCATTGCTCTGTGTCCCGTTTGCTTTGTCTGATTTCCACACTCGGAAAAGTGGGGGTCTCAGGCTTCACCCTCCGGCACCTGGGAGATAGCGTCGCAGAACAAGTGCTTCGATGACTTGAACAGAACATTCCCTCAGCTTTCCACGATGATGTAGTGTCTCGAAGCACTTCGGCCCTAAGTCAAAGGCCGTGTACAAGAGCTATTTCGTCAAGAACAAGCAGAAAAGCAAAGCAATGAAGTAAGTCTTGCGAAACTCATAAAGGGAAGAACTATGCACGGCCTTCACGACCAACAAGGTAAAGGCAGCAATCACCTTTGCTCGGAATGCCAAGAGTGGAATCTTCAAAGTTGCGCTGTGTTTTAAGGAAGCGCTTTTGTGTGGGAAAGGCAAAGAGAAGAGGAAGAAGAGGAAACAAACATCTTACAAACCGAGGATGGATCAGAATGGGTGATCAGGAGCAGAATTGATAGGGCTGATGCTCAAGATCGGGATGAGGATGAACATCCTTACTTAGCCTTACTTGAACATCTTGAACATTAAAATCAAGGAATTGGGAAATCTGAAGCCGGATTGCACCCACTGCTGAAGCAAAGAGGATTCAGGTAGCCTGACCGGCTACCTGCTTCAACCGTCGGTTGAACCATCCCGTGAACCGTCACTCCTCAGCTTCCTGGCCATGGCAGATGCAATGGCGGCAGATGCGTAGGGATTGAAGCTCCGGAAAACCTCCCGCCACACGCCAAGACTGCTTTCCATGTGACGGATCTGCTTTCACCACGAGGTGCAAAAATGTGGAAAGACTCAAACTGAATCAAACTGATTCAGATCCAATGGTGTTCTCATACGACAAACCAAGGCAAACCGACCACATCTTCAAGGCATGTCCACAGTTCGCTGGCGTACGTTTGGCTGGAACTCTTCAATGCTAGCATCGTATTTGGCGATGGTCTGACCTTGGTTGGGAGGAAGACTGGCGACTGCATTGATAAATATGTGTATCCCCATGTGCATGGCAAATGTACAATGGGAGGATCAAGAACCGTCTCTGGCTTTGCCATCAAGCTTGACTGAAGCGATAACACACGGCTTAAGCTGCTGTCTTGTGTTCCAACGATAACTAGCTTGGCAAAGCTGTAGTAGTAGTAGCAGCAGCAGAGCAAGTAATCGACGTCATCGGCGTCCTGAATTTCCCAGAGGACTGGACCGGTACAGTCCTTCTTTTTGGGAAAAGGACACATGGTGCCCAACGGTGCTGAAGGGCAGGTCCTCAGAATCGGCACCCGACAAACGGCATAAAAGAGAGCTCCTAAGAACAACAAAACCTTACACATATTATATATATGTATCAACATGTACAGTCTATAAGTATGTAGAGTTAAAGTGACTGTTCATACTTATATCCGCTTATCATATATATAGTAATATATATATATATATGATCGTACCTTTGGAAGGGGGTAGGACACGAGAAAATGCATTTAATTTGTAATAGACGCTACTAGTCACGGTACGCTACTACTAGCTACTTTTATACAAGGCTACAGGGACACAGCTTAGGGCGAAGGGTCGATTTGGTTCGTAGAATTCTTAGGGAAACTTGACAAATAGCAGTTTAGATCAGCGTGTTCCATGTACTTAAGAATTTAGATCTGGTTAGATCTTCGTTCCTTGCCCTTGTTTTAACAAGCTTATTAGCTGAGTAATGAGAGATCGAAAGACTGAGAAGTCGCACGAGCCATCTGGACAACAACCAGCCATTGAGCATTTCGTTGACCTCGGCAGTGCACACGTTACGTGTCTTCTTCAGTCAAATTGTCTTGTTGTCTTGCTGTTGATATACAATTGTCATTCTCATTTCCCGTTCTGGTTCCCAAGGCCCAAACGGATCGTCTGGACAAGGGACACTGGCCTCAGATCTGTCCGCAAATGGAAAAGAGAAAATTGTGTTTCTTGGGGAAGAAGTGAAGAGACGCGATGGCTCCAACCTAATAGCAATGGTCTCCATCCTAATAGCGATGGCCTCCAACCGAATAGCGGGAATGGGGAAGACATCTTTTCCATTTCGGAAGTGCTAAGCTTCGTCGTTTCACCCAGCCACCTCGCCACCAATCAATCCAATGCTCCAAGCCAAGACAAAAACAAAGACAGCTTCTATTAGCAGTCGCAGGTTTTGCTAAGTTCTGGGCACCAATAAGGCAACTCGCGTGGCCAATGATTTTGGGTTTGGGTGCACCTGCCAGCGGGAGTGCCACGGAGTTCGACACAAAAATAACGGCCCTGTGAAAAAGGCCTCTAGTAGCGATGCCCTTTTTGTTCCTAATAGTGTCCTTGTTCCTAGTAAGGCCAGGAGCCCCTAGTAGCGTCCTTGCTCCTAGTAGCGATGCCCTTTGCTCCTAGTAGCGATGCCTTTAGGGGCCGTTACCTTCTTCTTCTCTTCTCCTTTAGGGCTACCTTTCAGAAGTGTCGATGGACGCGTCATCTCAGCATCGTCAGACTGTCGCGTGTAAGTCTGAGGTCCTGCACAAGTGCAGTCGAAGGCCTTTCCCATTGAGCAACCTGGCAATGTTCGTGACAGGACTTTCACTCAGTCTGAGAAGGATATATTTTGTTGGCCGGTTAAAATGTGTCCCGGTTCACTTAGGAAGGCTCCTGGCCGTACTACTAGGAGCTAGCTATTAGCTTATTGTTACTACTAGCAAGGCACTTGTTACTACTAGCGATGCACTTGTTACTAGTAGCTACCCGGTTCACTGTTGCTTCTGGCCTTCAGAGTTCTTCGAACTTCCGCATCTCGCCTCGAAACGAAACCAACAACGCTCGCCGTCGCTCGCCTGTTGCGCCCGGTGGCGCTGAGGGGCACATCCTCGGAAAGTCAGGACGATGTCCAATTTGGGTGGCAAAATGTGTAAAGAGGTGCACGCACCTCTTTAAGGATTTTTGGGAATCAAACGAAAGGAAAGGCCTGAAGTGGCAGTATCGAGACACTACCTGAGGCCTCTCACGAACCATCTGGACAGCAGCCACTCCCCGCACATCTCGACTTCCTCGACTGGGCGTCTGCGCAATGCGACTTTCAAATACGGTGCTTTACTTGGCTGGACATATAGTTTCATCCAAGTTGAAAAGCAACAAGTTTAAAGCAATTTGAAGAGTTAAAAAGCCATCCCGGTGTTTCAAGCTGTGAGATGCCATCAACGCATTGAGCCCTCGGAAATCCCTTCGGCCAGGAGCCCTGCTTGTCAGGACACAGTACACCTCACAAGCAGGTTCATGTTTTCTTCATGCGTATTCTTCAATTGCAAACTCGGATGTGCGTATCGGATATACGGATTTTGCAAACATCGTTTATGACAGTGACATTATGTATAACATTATATATAGTGCAAATATCGTTTGTTTATCATTTTTTGCAGATTGTTCTCAGATGTTCTCAGTATTTTCAGTTTCACGGAATCGCTGACCGAGGGCCGCCACTTTCGCCCCACATGCACTTGCGGCTTTCGTCGCATTCCGCCTAAGCTGGCAGAACAAAATGAGAGGTGACGCTTGTGGCCAGATAAAGCATGTCCAAAACATTCAGAAAAAGCATGTCCAACATTCCGCCACTCTCCTGATGTGGAAGGAACAACTGAGACGCAAAATCACCTTGTAATGGGATGAGCTGTTCCCTGAGTTCCATGCCTCGCCGGAGCTCTTCGCCTCCGAAGAGCAAAATCCCGAAAAAGCGCTGCTTCTGTTGTTTGTACTTCTACATCAAGTACCGTAGAGAACATCAAATTCGAATCACGGATCCGTTCTCTCTACCCCACTTCAATCCGAACGGCACCTCTGTTGTGGTCACCAAAAGAAAGCAAGTTAAATTCAATGTTGAGCAGTCAAAGACTTTGCTGGAGCGTTTTCTGAGCCAGGATCGTGCTAGTCGGTGAAACATCCATTTTCAGACTGGCAAAAGCTCGGGGAAATGGAGCTTCCCATCATGGGATTGCCTCAACTCATTGGCTGCGTCACCCATGTCACCCAGCATGAGCTGTTGACATAGTTGACAGTCCTAGGTGGTGTAGGACATCACCACGGAGCTCTCTTCCTCGCCACGCTGCGAGCCACTTTTGTGTGGGACTACCTCCTCCACAATAGGTTCCTCTCGTTCATCTTCTCTTCGAGGTGCCTTTTCGAGGTCCTAGTGGACACATTTCGTGTGAGTCGAACACAAATGGCCTGATCGGAGAGAGTCATAACTGGTCCGACTAGTTAGGTTCGCCCACGAGCCGATTCTGCTTCGTGCAGGCGGTTTTCACCGGATCAAATTATGTTCGTCCAGGTTGCGGCTCAACTTTGAGACCCTCCAAGCCTTCTAGCCTTCCTGTTTCTAGTCGCATACGAGGGTCGCATCCAAGCAGCCCTCCAGAAGCAAGGGCCTATAAAAATTGTAGTCCAACTACAGCCCTTCAAAGAGCATTGTGCGCACTCCAGGGATTTTGCAATAAAAGAGAAGGGCATTTAGAAGTACAAGACCCGGACTACCCCGAACCCAAACTCTCAAAGAAAAACATCTAAGGAACTTTCATTGTCGGTAAAAGGTTGCGACCTAAGCCTCTTGAACTTCCTTAAGGAGTTGAACAATGCTTAAGCACTCTTGTCAGTCCAGGTCCAAGACAGAAGTTGTTCTTCAACGAGACATTCTTGAAAGTAGCCTTGTTCACCAGCCGAAGGTGAGAACGGTGAACAAGACGACACTGAAAAAAGGAATGCCTTTCAACTTTCAACTGTTAGTAACAAGGGCATCGCTAATAGTAACAATGGCATTACTAGTAGCAAGACGCTACCAGTAACAAGGGCATCGCTTCTTCGTCCTCCTTGATCTCCTTGTCCGCTTCGATGCCTTTGGGATCTCCGAAGTCGGGGTCCACTGACTCTAGCTGAGAGGGGTCATGGAAGCGGATGGTGATGTCCTGCCAAGGTTTTTCGACTTGAGTCCAGAAACATTAGAGAAACGAAGAGGAAGATACGTCTAAGTCTGTCTGCAATCGTCTAATTCTGTTCCAAACTTCGACTTCCCCATATCCTCCACAGAGTTCTCTTGTCGGCAGAAGGTTACGTCTAGGTGTTGTGCATCTCCCTTGGCCAAGCAATCACAAAGCCACGAAGGCTTCGTCAGAGATGACAACGCTTCCTGGGAGGACTTGGAGGGGGAAGGGGTCACGGTGGGGATGGCAAGATGGCAAGGAGGAACTCCGAAGTCAGCACTCCGAACACCTGTGACAGAAGTTCTTCATCGAGTTGTGTATTTTTCACTGTCTGTTCTAGCCCATCTGCGCTGCCCACATCTTACGATCGCTGCAAATCAACCACACACTCAAGGATCATGTGTGTCGATATACCGCCAAGGCTCATGCTTGCTCTTCTGCAATCGTGCTCTCTTGGCAGGATCTTCGAAGAGATGTGCCGCCAGCCGGGGTGGGGAAGCTGTGTAGTAGCCAGGAAACCCGAAGAAGTGGATGGCAGGGACTGCCAAGAAGGAGGCGTCCCCGAAGAGGTTGGAGTTGTGCTCCATCTTTGGTGGAGTCACAAGTAACCTGGTGTCCAAAAGGTGTTTCTTTCTTCTTTGTTTCTCGCTAATTGTTTTGTGTCATGTTCAATATCACCTCACAGAGCCTGTTTGCATCATCAGAAGTAGTGTTTTGAGCAAGGTCGACGCAAGAACCAACGAAGGGCAGGATGTAGAGATCTGATATACATTTTTTTTCGTAGAGAAGTAGAAAGGTCAACATGTTTACTGCGGTCTTCATCGTCATTTGCATCAGGACACTTTCTCGCTCTGCATCGCTTGAAAAGCCGGAGAGAGTGCTCAGCCGGGATGAGACTATCAGCCTCTCCATGAATGAAGAGCGTGGAGCAGGAGACATTTGCAATGATCCTACGGCAGGTGTGCGCGTGGGCAGCTCAGTTGCAAGCTATCTGAAAAGCCGGTCATGTACTTTACACTACATGGATGCTTATGATTTTCACGGTGTCTTTTTTCACGCAGTAAGACGATGTACAGCATGAAAAACCAATGGACCAAGAGCTTTCAGGTATTCAACTCTGAACCGATTTCATTTGGACTGTCAAAAGTTGTGAAAGAAAGCAGGAGCCCCTAGTAGTGTTCTTGTTCCTAGTAGCGATGCCAGGAGCCCCTAGTAGCGTCCCTCCTAGTAGTAATGCCAGGAGCCCCTAGTAGCGTTCTTCACTGTTGGCCGTTCTCCTGCTGTTTGGAAAGCGCTCATTGAAGGTCCATGCCACTACGCGACCCACGATGCTTTGCACCGCTGCTCGGATCGAGGTGAAGGCGGAGACCAAGATGAGACCACCCACCGGGTACTGCGCAGCTAAGAAGACAGCAGGACCACTCCTCAGCCCAGGCCCCAGTATTGATAAATCAATGAACCAGCATTAATTGTTTGTTTTTTCTTCACGCCTATCACTGCACAAGCATGTAAATTGTTAAAACAACAATGCAACAAAAATAAGAATGACAAGACATGTTCGCAGAGAAAACCTTGCAATGTGGGCTCAGTCTCCCCAAGGACCTCCCAAAGAGGATGATCTGAGAATATCTCACACCGATGTCATCCACCAGAAATCGAAAGGCTGTTAAGGCCACTTCATAAACTGCAGCTTCTGATGGCTCCATGTGGTGTAACAAGCCATATCCTTGGATGGAGGCCATCGCTAGTCGGTTGGGAGCCATCGCTAGTAGTCTTGTGTTCTCTTCTATTACAAGTATTAGCTTGGAGGCCACTGGTGAGAGAAGAACAACTGAAAAGCTCCCGGTCAGACATTCTGTCGGCATGTCAGACAAGTCTCCGGGGTATTCCACCGCCAAAACATTCACCTTGAACTGGTCCCGAACGTGGCGAAGCACGGCGAAGGACATGCCCAGGTCTTCAGCGTTTGCGTGAAAGAAGAGGATCACCGTGGCGGCTTTGGGCGCTGGAAACCACAGACATGGGATCCCACCTCAGCCCGTCACACAGTGACTGTGTTCGCCTCCTACCTACTAGCAACCTATATTAGACCTTTCTTCCTTTTCTTTTTCTTTGTTTCTTTTAGCGATGGCCTCCAACCTAATAGCAATGGCCTCCAACCTAGTAGCG